TGTGATGAGGGTTTATTGCTATTTTATCAACTCTTCAAAGGAATGTACATCAAATAGTCTCACTGTCTTCTTGGACTCAGTGACATGGCAGTAGTCTCTGTTTCATGCAGAAACTTAGTTATTGAAGATTCTTGTCTTTAAATTTTCTTTTTAATATTTCAGATAATACACTTTGAAAATCTATATATTAAATGCATCAGAAGAATACAATGAGAGAAAGTTTTATTGTGATGCCTTTAAATGAATTTCTTTTCCTAAAACTCAGGATGAAGCATTATAATAATAATGTGCAAATAATCTTAAATGCAAAATTTCTATTATTTCCAGTTACTATAAAGAATACAAAAATACAGTGAACTAGACAATGGACAGAAAAATGTAACAAATCACAAGATAAAAGATTATATTTGTATTTTGTTTCTTTGAGGCTAACCCTAACACAAAATTGTATTCTTTATGCAATATTATCTTTTGTCAGGACAGGAAACCTGTCAGATGCATTAGACAGCTGCGTTTCATGATTTATTTTGTTGATAAGGTCACATTTTTCAGTAATCTCTTTCATTAAATCAACTTCTCAAAAGATGTCATGCCATTTGTGGCTTTTGGCTTTATTTTCTATAACTTGTGTATTTTCATTCTTGTATGTTGCTTGCAATTCTTTAATTTCATTGGCACATGATAGTGGATCCTGATACTGATTTTAAATATTTAAATTTTTCCATTACATTTTTCATTAATCATTGTAAGTTCTGTTAGTACGAGGGTTACTAGGTGATCACTGGTATAGGTGTATGTGAACATATGTGTAATCATTTTTTTTCTTTTTGGTACAAAGGTGTCTTTTAACTTATAAACAAAGATTCTGATATTATAGATTAGGAGAAGAAGGGCTGAGGGGTGACCCAATATTGCAGAAATACAAGTCTGGGTCATTGATTCTTAATGTGTGATCTGTGAGTCATTGGAATTCACTATTCCTATTTCTGGAGATTGTTAGGACAAAACATATTTTTTTGTTATTCATTGGGAAGACACCTGCACCAACATCTGCCCAGGTATTGATGGGTGAAATGCAAGCCCCTTGGCACAAATCAAGAATAGCACCAAGTGTATTCTTCCCCTATAATACTTAGGTTAAAAACAAAATGTAATTTTATCTATTGATGAAATAACAAAATTATTACTTTGATTAAATTCTGAACCTTGAGTATGCAATTTAATAATTTTGTGTGATAACTAAGAGGTAGATAAAATAATTTTACATATTGAAGAACAATAGTTATCAGTTGAGATAGCCATATTTTATAGGAATGCCATGTTTACTTGAAATAAGATCAGAAAGAACTATGGCTCTTTAGACTTTTGTGTTTGGCAGAGTTTCTAGGAAAGAAATGAGCCTGTCACTACATGCAAATGCCTGATTGAATTTGTTGCCAAAGATAACATTCTTGCTTTATAGTGAAAATTAGATTTTGGAAAACATATATTCCACTGTGAGTATGACAGCTTTCCAGTACTTAATGATATTTTCTGATAAAATTGGTAGTGATACTCACATTTGTGAGTTTTGGAGATGAAGAAATATATAAACATTTAAAGATCATCATAGTGCAATAATTAATATATTCCAAACAACCCATTGAAAAAAATTGTCATGGGTAAAATATTCATTGACAGTATAAGACACACATAGATTTTTATGTATGAAAGAATGAAAAGTTTACATTCCCAAGTGTAACTAATATTTATGAAACTCATTTGTTGTCTCAATGTGGCATCAAATATCCATACTTATCTAAAATGATAATTAAAATACTATTTCCTCATCCAGCTATATATTTACTGAGTTCTATTTCCTTGGTATACTTTGTCATCTTGTAGCAGATTGAATGCAGACACTGAAACATGGATACAGATGTCTTTATACAGTAAAATCTTAACCAGTGCTTTTCTTCCCACTAAATTCTCTTTTTTTTTGTAAAATAGAATCATAAAATGTTGTTATGTTTACCTGTAATAGTTTACTATGCATAATTACTAACTGTATCTGTAATAGTTTATTACTAAGAATGAATTAATAAAAAATTCACTTACAAAGTGTTAAATAGTATAGCAGTAAATGACATAAAATAAAAGCTCTTTGGGAATCTTAGTCATTTTTACATTTAAAGGGTCCTGAGATCACCATACAATGATACCCAAGTCTACCTAATTCTAGTTGAAAACATACTTCCCTTTCACAAAATGAGACAAGCATTTATATCTGCAAGTAGCTAGAAATGGAATTTATTTTCCCATGACAACAAAAAAAGAGAACAACTTCATGATTTGAGTAGTAATGAAGTACTGTGCTAGCAGTCCGAAGTTCTGGCTGAGAAGTTCTCTCTGCTCTTGTCGTGGCTTTGAACCTCAGTTAACTCATTGGTGAAGTCAATGTGATTAATCTTGAAATTCATTTAAAACAAACAAAGATTTATATGCCTTAAAATTAATTTAAGTCTAATATGTTACTGAAACTTACATGTATGTAGAAACTGCATAAATATGACTATTTTTAATGCAACCATAAAACAAAGAGGAAATTATCAATCAATAAAAATATAAGCCTCAGATAGATAATGCTGTGTGCTATCTTGCTTGAGTCTGCATCCAAGGCATCCTGCTGTGTGGTCTGGGCCCTTTGTACTTGGACCTCCTGCTGCTTGCATTTTCTGTGCTGGCTCACTTCTTTCAGCATGTAAAATATCAAGGAGACCTGATTTCCAAATCAACATAGCATCCTTTTGGTTTGAACACATTGCTGCTTGAGTTGAATTCAAGTCTTTTTTCAACGGAGTGATGATCAAGTCTAGGACACCCTTATTTGAGTTTGTACACATACACACATGTATATACACAGGGTGAGTGGGAGAGAGATTGATTTTGATTAGGTCTACAGAGTTCCTTAACAACTAAATTGTTCCTTAACAACTTAATGGCCCTGTAACTAGAAGGCAAAATAACCCATATCTAAGACAATATTAAAATTTTCCAGAAGTACTCTGTTCTTCCCCTTCCCATTGTTTTGCTGTTCTGCTTACATCTTATAATTACTGAGATTGGGAACAATTTTGTTAATTGGGAGGAAACTTTTTTTTTAAGGATTTATTTTTGCATACAGAACTGAGGTACAGGCCAGAGGTGCAGGGGCAGTGAGAAGATTCACCAGAGACAGAGTGGGGGGCAGAACAGGCAGATCTACGAAGTACACTGCTGAGGGGAGCAGTGGGTGGGTCAGGAGAGGTCTGCTGCACCATGTGGTCACCTCCGGGGCCTGGGATTGAACTCCTGCGGAAGTGGCTTTAGCTGTGCTTTAACCCGCTGCACCACCAGGGAGGGTCTGGGAGGAAACTTTATAATAAAATTATTGTAGTAATAACATATGGATATTTGGGTGTATATTTTTGTTTTAAGAGTGACTATATATAGTACTTCTTGGTATGTTTTATTTTTAATTTTGGTGCAAATTACAAGCATTTAGGGCTGTCATAAGTATTTTTACATGCTTAAAATGTGGAAATTTTTCTTCTATAATTTTCACATGTTTTTCCCCAGTAAGTTAACTGCAAACAATAATATACTAAATCTTTCATATTTTCTTATCTGATCATGTTGCTCAGCTATTAGTTTTATAAGATCTTTATGATGTAGATATATATATATATATATGTTAACTGTAATATTATTGTGATTTATATGCTTCTTTCTGTCTTCTCTTTTTAATTTAACATCTATTAGATTTTTGGATCGCAAATGGTTTAAATATATATAGTTTGGCATTCTTAAGGATCTCTGTGTATCTACATCATTGATGAATACATCAGTATTACAGAAATGTTCCTTTTTTCCATTATATATTTAATTTAAAATTTTAAACACCAAATACTAGTCAGAAATGTTTCTTATAGTGTACTGTGACTTTATGGTTAAAGATTTATTTGTTGTTAGAGACTTTTAATAATTATTTAACTTGTGTATTGGTTGAAATCATATTATACATAATTTAATCTAAACTTGAAAAGTTTTGCTTCATAGTACGTTTTTGAGGACTTTCACTTGTTAAGTGTAGGACTTTTGTTTCACATTCTCCAAGTTATACACTGCTTTTTCTTTCTATTTTTGTAGTACTTTTTTGGTATGCTGTAACATTTAATCATATTTGGTAAGATGTTCTCAGCATCACTGACACAATTAATAGCCTGAAAGCAGAATGCTTTTGTTATAGCAGGTGCAAACAAACTCCTTTTTTATCTGAATAGGGTTGTTAAACTGTCTTTCATGTGGCAGATGCTCCTGTGTGTTACTATGTTACCTTTAAGATTCTGTTATCTCAAGGATACAAAATGTGTTTGTGTTCTACACTTTCAGAACAAAATAAATATTCACAGAATTCTTTAATAGACAAAACAGTGTTTCAATTCTGAATGTGACTGAAAGTTAGATGAGATTTGTTCCATTACTTAAATTTGTTTTTGATATCTTAGAATATCTATGCCATTTTACTTAGAAATATTGGGGGTACTCATAGCAGTGGTGGTTATTATTACTGTCTATGAACTGGACACTATCAGGCACTGCTTTATGCACTTTATCTCATGCACTCCTCCTAATATCCCTATGAGAAAGCATTGTTTAATTGCTATTTGTGTAGGGAGAGACTAGGGACAGAGGACAGTTAGGCTGACTGCCTAGGCTCTCACACATAACAAGTTGGAAGCGAGACAATAGTCTGAGCAGCCTTACTCCACAGCAGGTCATCCCACACATACAAATTTCTTTCACTATAAAGTGGTTTAAAGGAACTAATGAAATTTTTATTTAGAATATTTACTGGTCAAATGAGAATGTTAACTGATCAGATGTGTTGATCTATTCTGAAATATTTAGGATTTACTGCTTTTATCCTAATAGGTAATTTTCTTAAAAACAAAAATACATTTTTTTTTTTGTATTTATAGATATGCCTCTTCATGTCCGACGAAGCAGTGACCCAGCTTTAATTGGCCTCTCAACTTCTGTCAGTGATAATAACTTTTCCTCTGAAGAGCCTTCGCGGAAAAACCCCACACGCTGGTCAACAACAGCAGGATTCCTCAAGCAAAACACTGTAGGAAGCCCAAAGACCTGTGACAGGAAGGTAACTATTTCTGTCTTGAGTCTTAGTATCTGTGCTGAATGTCATCTGTTGACTGAATCCTTTACTAATAGGGCATCTGTATTACCCTTTGATTGTGTATGCATATTAATTTTTGCATCAAACTCTGATGACTATTGTATATTGCCCTTGACTTTCGGCATAAAATTCACAGTATTTATGTCTATACTCACTTATATATCTATTTTTGGAATAGATAATATTTTCATATTTCATATATTCACACATGAACTCTGTCCACACAAAGTCCCTCTCCTACTTTATCACTCATCTTTTCCCAGCTTCTAAACATGGGAAATTCCCACATTAACTTTTTGCATGACTGGCAGGGACACTTCATACATATGTTACCAGCATCTATTGGTTTGAGAGGTTCATTAGTGAAATTACAGCATTATGGACTTTAAGGAAGAAAGTGAACTCGACAGTTATTTCTTTGATCAACTCAGTGAATAATTTAAAAGCTATTCTCAGAGGTGAGAGGTGATACCTCATTGTGTTTTTTATTAAATCTCTGAGTTACTAAGAGATGATGAATATCTTTTCATGTGCCTGTTGACCATTGTTTTGAGTAGATACTTTGAGAAGTATCTACTCAGATTGCCACCTATTTTACTTACTTATTTAGTTCTATGAGTTTTGTATTATTATTTTTAATCCCTATATTGTTAGTTTCTGTTTTCATTTTATTATTTCATTCTATCTAGCTTTTTTTTCTAGTTCTTTAAGGATGTGCTTAGATTTTTTATTTTATAATCTTGTTTAGATAGACCTGTGTTGCTATAAACTTTTCTTAGTACTGCTTTTGCTGCATCTCATATGTTCTCATACTTTATATCTTCATTTTTATTCATCTCCAGGTATTTTTTGATTTCTGCTTTGATTTCTTCGTTGATTCAGTGATTGTTCAGTCTATTCTCCAAAATTGTGTTTTCTCACTCTGTTTTCGTTTGATTGGTCTCTTGATTCACATCATTATGAACTGAGTAGATGCCTGATATTATTTCAGTCTATGTCAATTTATTGAAATTTGTTTTTTGTCCCAACATATGACATATCCTTGAAAATATTCTATGAGCTTTTGAAAACAATGTTTTTTTGGTGTTTTGAGGTGGAAAGTTGTATAAATACTTATGAAATGTAAGTATAATAGTAACAACATTACGTTGGTGATTTTCTTCCCATATGTTCTTGTCATCATTGTAAATGGGTTGTTAAATCTCTTAATATTTTGTCATTGACATTATTTTCCTTTAGGTCTATAAATACTTGCTTTTTATATTTAGTAGCTGGTGTGTGATAAATAGTGATCATTGTTATTCCTGTGGTAGTGGTCCTTTTATCATTTTATAATGTTTATTTTTATATCTTTTTTTGATTTTGGGCTGGAATTATGTTTTATCTGATATAACAAGCACTTCTTGCTTTTTATAATTTCCTGTTGACTTTGAGTTTCAGTCTCAGAGTTTAAGTCTGTGATTGCCTTTCTAGTTAAAGTGAGACTAGTAAGCAGTACATAGTTGCATTATATTTTTTAATCCACCCAACCACTCAATATTTTTTCATTGGTTTCTTTAGTCCATTTCTCTTAATATTGCTATGTGAAGCTTGCTATTGCCATTTTGTCTTTAGTTTTTTCTGTTTAGTTACTTCCTTGTTCAAATTTTTATGTTCAATTTATATAGGAGGGCTCCTTTCATCAATTCTTATAGGCAAGGTCTATTGTTGGCAATTTTGCTCAGTTTTTTGTTTGGATAATCTTTTATTTCTGTCAGAGCTAAATGAGAGTCTTGCAAGATATGACATTTGCAGCTGAAAGTTTATTCATTTATTTATTTTTTTGCAGCTGAAAGTTTTTATCTGAATATTTTGAATATGTCATTCTATTATTTTCTGTTTTGTAGAGTTTCTTCTGAGACTGATGAAAATCTAATGGCCGTACCTTTATGAGTTTACTGCTTTTGTTATTTAGACATCTTCAAAATTCTTTGTGTGTTAAACTCTTGATAGTTTTGATGTTACGTGTTTGATGTAGGTCTCACTGCATGTAGATATGTAGGTGTTCCGTTAGCTTTGTGGACTTGTATATTTAGTTCCTTTTCCATTTTTTCTTTATTATTTCTCTTAATTAGCTCTCTGTCCTCCTGGTTCTCTCTTTTTCTTCTGGGATACCCATTACCATATTTGGCCTTCCCTAATGGCATTGAGTAGTTCTTGTACTTAATTTTTTTTCTTTTTCACGTTATTTCCCCCCTTTTTTTAACCTATGTAAGTTTATGCCTCTATCATTTAGCATACTGATTTTCCATTCCAGTTGTTCTTATTCTTCTATAGTTTTCTCTTAATGCTTCATGTCATATTTATTGTGTTTATCACATCCTAAATTTCTTTTACTTAACACTTCAATTTCCATCTTTTCTCCAATAGTTTTATTTCTGAGTTCATTAATTTGTTTCTATGAGTCTTATTGTGTCTTCTTGATTAGGTTTTCTTAATTAATTTTTACCACTTTGATTTGCCTTTCTGACTTTTCTTTGTAAGTTTCTTTATTATTATAATTTTGAACTCTATGGAATAGATACAATAATCCGTGTCTTTTTGTTTTGGATTCTGGAGCATTTTTCTCTTGTCCTGATGCCATATTCCATTCAGGTCTTACGTTGACTTGTTTTTTTACTTTGTTCTCTGACCTCATTTTACTACTTTAAGTGTCAGTGGTTTAATTTTTAAATATCTGAATCAGGAGCTTAAAGAGTAGAACTATTTTCCAGCAGGTAGTATTGTGTTTTTATTTTATTTTACAGTTTTGGTTGTCCCTGGTTTCTTTAGGTAAGGTATTTGAATTTGCTCTGTCATCCAGGTGGGAAACAAGTATTCACCTACTATTGCAAATTTCTTGTGGAGAGGTGGGCCCTGATTCTTGTTTGGGGAACTGTTTATATATTTCCTAGGAGGCCCAGATCCGAGACTCTGAGACAAAAGACAGCTTGTCTTCTGTCAGTGCAACTCTTGAGGGCAATAACCACCCTCAGGTGGTGAATGAGGGGGAGTGAATTCTAGAGTTTCTTTGTTATCTTTCATACTGGGTTTTGGCCTATGTGGCGTACCCCAGCTCTACCATTGGACTTTACTTGAAATGAAAAGCTTATCCCTCTATTCCAATTTTGTTCACCCCTCTCCAGGAACTGTGGCTGGGCTGCATCTCCAAAACCTTTGTTGTCCACCCAGACCTGCAGCCTCAAGCCATTTGTTCTACCATCTTCTGTCCAGTGAAGGGTGAAACTCCTCTCTATGTAACTTCTGGTATAGTTTATGCTGATCTTTGATTTGTGAGTGGGGTTGCATTCTCATCTTGTTTGCTGGCTCTCTTGAAGTCATGTTCTTACAGTTAATTGTTAGCTGTTCATTTTGGGAGCTTAGCAAAACACCATTTGAATTTGTCTCTGTAAAATTTTTAAAATAAACAAGAGTTTTTATTTTAGATAGCAAAACTGGTAGAGTAAAACAAACTAGTAGAGTAGAACAAAGTGAAATTAGAGTAAATTATAAAAGAGCAACCAGTGTTTTTATGATATTAATGTAGTGACACTACATTCTTACACATTGAGTTGTAATCTCACTGTGTCTACCAATTTGCATTCGTGATCATTTCTACTGTTCTTGTTTCTCTTTGTCATATCATTTCTTTTTACTGCCCAAAATTCACTCACGTGAATTTTATTAGAAAATATTTTTAAACAATGCATGATATTCCACTATAGCATATACTCATTTATTTACGATCCCCCTGTTTTTTTGTACATTTATACTATTTTTTTCACATTATAAATGTCAGTGCTGCAAGACGTATATACTATATATAAATCTGATTCAACATTGTCTCATGTTCTGTTATAAAAATACTTCCCATGTTTTCAATGTTCATAAAATTTGCTTGAAGGAATGAACATTTGCTGATCAGTACTGAATTTTCTATTTATGTAGAGTTCATGAGAGGGACAATTTCAAGATGTTATATATATTTTTATCACTGTGTAGTGGTATATGTTTTCTATAAAAACAGGAAAATAAATTCATTAAGGGTACATAGCCTCATGGTTTATTGATTTCTAATAGCTAAACTAAGTTGACATTTTTGTATAGCTCATTTACATATTTAAGTGGCTTTTATTCTTCCAGCTGGAATTAGCAAAACAAAGAGTTTTAAAATAATATTACCAGTCAATTAAAATTTCTCCTGTCTAACCTGGGAAGTTTCATTCTAGTATGTTAGAGCACTATGATGTCAAAATCTCTCTGGTGGTTCAAAACTGCAGCTGAGAGTTTGAATTTTCCATTTAAATTACTGTTAATATCTCATTTTACTATGGATATACTAGACAGATTTTGATCCTACTAAGTCAGGGAGGTGTTTGTGGAGAACAAGTGGTGTAGGATTCTGTAGGATTTTGAGGTGACATGTACATGGAAAAAAGCCTTGAGTTTTTCCTTTCCTTTTTTTTTAAGATTTACTTATTTGTGCATACAGAACTAGGGTACAGGATAGAGGCTTAGGGGCAGCGAGAGGCTTCACCAGAGAC